AAGGTATATTCCAGCTCTCTAAGCAGTTAAAAATTCCATTGTGCTTCTAATTACCTATTTCATTCCTTGAATATCAATGTGCAATTAACATTACAAATAATCAAGGTTAAAAATATAATTAATGCAAGTGTGATTTAGTTATAATTAAACTAATTACACAGATATGTAGCATAATAAGGGACTTGCAGACCATTATGTGGATGCAAATTTATTCTTCCTTTCAACAGCAGTTATTTGAATTTCATTTTCCAATTATTTTACACATGATGGAATGGAATAATAAAAGAGAAAGTCTTTCATGGATAAAATATAATGAAGCAGTTATTCTGTATCCTTTTGTATATTGACTCTTTTGTTCATATGTACTTGTAAATAGACAAGTTAGAATAAAATAAAAACCAATGCTACCACAATCAACAAAATTACTGTATTTCCTAATTCTGTGACTGTAGGAAAAAATCAATAGCACAACACTAAAGAGATTCAATGCCATATAGCATGACTCCCTTTCAGATGAGGTGTACCCACAACTAGCTTTACACTCATAAACTTCAAATACTCACTCAACAAATACATTATATTTGCTATTCTCAAATATAACTGGTTCTGAACATTTTCATTTATTGATGCAGACCAAGGATAACCCAAACCCTGTGCCATGGACCTGTCCCAGTCCCTGTCCTGAGCCAGGCTGCACAGCAAGAGGTGAGTAGAAGGCTAGTGATGGAAGCCTCACCTGCATTTCCAGCTGCCTGCTCCCCATCACTCACACTACTGCCTGAGTCACACCTTCTGGCAGATCAGTGTGGCATTAGATTCTCATAGGAGAATGAACCCTAATGAAAATGGGAACTGTGTGCATCTATGCTGTGATTCCTTATGAGATGGAGCTGAGGCAGTGATGCTAATACCAGGAGTAGCTGCAAATACTGATTAGCATTAGCAGAGAAGTTTAACTGTAGAGAGATGCTAGCAGGCTCAGATCAAAATCTTATCAGTGAATGGTGAGTAGCTCTCCATTATGGATAGATATGTAATTATTTTATTATATTTACAGTATAATGAGATAATGGAAATAAAATGTGCAATAAATGCATTGAACTTGAATCATCTCAAAATCTCCCCTCACCAGCTGTAGATAAATTGTCTTCTATGAAACCAGTCTTTGATGTCAAAATGGTTGGGGGCTGCTGACATAGATACAACAGTAAGTGCATTCTTTGCCTGAAGATGGCTGATGTAAGTGGGATCCAAGAGCCCTTCATGATGGTAGTGTGGGGGAGGGACAGTGAACGCAAGCTCAACTGTGATCACCTGGGGGTGGTTTAGGGCACAGCCCCATGTCTCGTAAGAAGAGGCTGAGAGAAGGTGCTCAGTGCTAACAGGAAGTTGCTTATCTTCTAGGCCGGACTAGCACAGTAAGAACCAGGACCAAGCTATCAGGGACAGGAAATGGGATGTTCTCTATAGAACTTTGAGATGAGGACCACAGAGGTCAACAGAAGCCTGGTTCTCTGGATCTCTATATACTAGAGATCCAGAGAATGAACAAACAAAGATATCACCAAAACACTAAAACAGAAAACAACATGGGGGTTGGGAGATGAGCAAGAGCAAAAACACATAAACTCAATGGCAACGGCAGGTAGAAAACTCCCAGGCTACAATTACAGGAATATCTAACAGAGGGAAGTAAAATAATACATACATACATAAATGAATGAATAAGACCTCCTGAAGAAGTTAAATTCATCTAGATAGATAAGAGGATACACTAGAATTTTATGAAACAAACTTCATAGTTACATAATAACTCCTAAATGCTTCAAATCAATGTCAATATATACCATCATTAAAGATAAAGCAGAAAAAATATCACAAAAATACTATAGCTCCTGGACTGGGGATTTGGCTCAGTGGTTGTGCTGCCTGCCTCACAAGCACAAGGGGCCCGAGTTCAATCCCTGGTACCAAAACAAACAAAGAAACAAAAAATATTGTAGCTCCTGAAATTGTAGTATAAATGATTCAAACCAGTCAAAACATTAATTTTGCAAAATAAAAATATTATGACTTTTTATGCCATCTGATAAAATGATTCTTAAAATAATATGTAATAACAAAGTCCCACAAATATTCTAAGCAAGGTAAAAGTGAGCTAGGAAGACAGTCCAGTACTGCAGTCTGCAGGAGGAATTAAGGATGCCTGGTCGCCAAATCCACAGCACTGGAACCTTGATTATTTCAAGGTGAACTCATGTGAAGAACTGCACCTGTGGGAAAGGACTCTGAGCTGCCTTCCCTTGTATGTAGCAAGCCACAGATGTCTTCCCTGTATTCAGGCAAGAAGATAACTTGAACTCCAGGGACTGGAAACCGGAGCCTATAATTGGCCTGAATAAGCAAATCCGTGTCTTCAATTCTGTCTTCCACCAGGCTGGATAACCTATTTACTCCTAGTTACATCCCTACAACGGCTGACCCAAGGACAGAAGCCCCTTTGTCCTTTCACTTATTCATAAATTTAGCACTGTTTGTCCAAAGAGTACAGAAGCATTTTCTTGGCTATCTCTTCAGACCTTATATACCTTTCTGAAACGCCTCTTGTACACATAAGATTAATAAAATGTGTGTGCTTTTCTTGTATTGATCTGCCTTGTGTTAATTTGGTTCTTACAATGAGCTAAAGAACCCATGTAAGAATTGAAAGAGAAGAGGGTCTCTGTCTCTCTGATACGAGGATGCATCATGAAACGTAAGTAAGTCAGTCCAAACATCCAGCACACAGGAGGACTTGGTATTGGTATCCAACAGAAGCGGTGCTTCTAAATGGGGACAGAGATGCTTTGTTTTGAAAATATTTTAGATGTCATCTGGACAGAAAAGAATATATTTCTACTATACAACATACTCATATATAAACTTCAAATCAATTAGCCACATGGATAGAAAAAAAACAGAAATCTTTGGAAAAGAGAATATGGAGGACAGTTTTACTATCTCAGAAAGGGAAAAAATCTGTTTCGAAAAGCAATAAATAAAAAGGGAACAAAATAAAATTGACATCATTGCAACTGAGAATTTCTATATATATATGAGTCTTTAAAGCAAAGGTAAAATAAAAGGCTCCACTGAAAAAATATTTAAAACATGTAAACCATGCAAGAGATTCATCTCTGTGAGAACACAGAACTCTCATACTAATGAGTAACAAAGAGAAACATGGGTGTGCAAGGGCCAAGTCCCGCACTGACATCAGCAGAAGGGAAGCAGAAATGGGGGCAAAGCCCCTGTGCTCACGGCGATTACCAAAGAGCAAAGGACTGAGCTGTCACTGCCGTGGACTTGCCCAAAATTAACATTTCCAATCATGACTACACAAGAGGGTTATAAAACTGCTTCTGGAATGATGACTATAAGTGAAATGTACAAAACATCCCTTATCATTTCCATCTATAACTTAAATATGCATATCTCTTACTACACAAATATTTATGCACACAAACACAGCAGATAATCAATAAAGTGGGAGGTAAACAGATATGTATGCATGCTTAGACTGGCAGGGAACATGCAAATATTGACAATGGGTTGCAGGATTAAGGGGAATTTTGTGTCCTTCTGATGCCTGACACATAAAGACATACAACAAATATTTACCAGCTCAAAGAATTACCTAATTTTGAGTGATTATGATTTTTCTGAACGCTTTCTTTTCAGTTACTGTATTTGAACTCATATGAAGAAATACGTATCTCGAGCAATACTGACCGAATCTCTTTAGGAACGATTCTCCTGTCCCTGGTAAACAGACTCTGAAATCAAATAAAGTCCTGAGAACTTAGTCATGGTCGTGACCTTCAGAGAATTTACATGAAGACACACAGCTTTCATCACAGAGTTCCAAAGACAGAGTTGGAAATGGGCCACCAAGGTACAGTGAGTTTTGCTACGGTAGAAAAATAAAAAGGACCTCTGCTTGGGGTCTTGTTATGTTGAAAACAGAGTGGGTGACAGGCACATTCAGGAAAGATGGCTTGTGCAGAGGGAGCCACTAGCAGATAGCTGTGAAGTTAAAGGTACAAAACACTTGGATATGGAGTCAAGTTGCCTATCAGGGCAAACTTGCAACAAGAATCAAGTAACGAATCCAATCTGAGAGAGGTTTAGAGCTGGGAATCGCTTTACAAGAAGAAAACTCATGGTAGTTGGAGAGAGGCAAGGGAAACAGAAAGACACTCTATCAATCGGATGGCCACACACACGGAAGAAGAAACTTGAAGGCCCTGCAACCCCCGGGGAAAACTCCTAAGGTTAAGAAGGAACTGCAGTCATGTGCTGTAGAAAACAGGAGTGAAAGAGCTGGCTTACGAGTGACACATAGGAATAACACTCGTGTGTGTGTGTGTGTGTGTGTGTGTGTGTGTGTGTGTGTGTGTGTATCCCACACAGCCTGTACAGCTCTGCTGGCTGAACAGAGCACACATGTGTGTAGAGCGAAGGGAAGGAATGTCTCCCCCACTCCTGCAGACACCGCTGTCCGGGTGTTGAGTACATGTGCCACTCCCAGCCCAACACAGCCGTGACTATGGGAAGAGGAGGACGGTGGCAGAGGGGACCCTACAGTCCTTTGGGACCAGACTCGGTGGTAGGCACACAGCAGCCCTATCCACAGGAGAAGCCGGAAGACTCAGCCCCTGGCTGTTTCCTGTTCATCCAAGTTACACATCCTGTGCCTCCAACACATGCTGGGATCCCACTCAGCGCCTCTGTGACACAATCTCCCAACCCACCCTTGGCTCCAGCTACAGGGACCGAGCTCCACGCACTCACACGGACGCAGTCTTTGCCCATGCAGACAAGAGGAAATCGCAGTGGAAATATGGAGGAGAATGATGCTCCGGATTTTCTTCCATGGGATTTAAGGAATGTGGGGTCTCCCTGAGCCGGATCATCATCTCCTGAGGTCAAAAAAATGATTTGCTCAGTCTGGATCTTACCCTGTGAGCGTCCTCACGACAGCATGGCCTGAACTTGGGGAGATGTCACCATTCAGCATTTTGAAAGTTGTGCTCTTTCCAGCTCCATTCACCCCCAGGAGCCCAAAGCACTGAGAGGAAAGAAATACAACAGGACAGTACATTAAATAGAGCACATTAAATGCATGGAAAGTTGTGATACAACAGCACTTGCTTTGAGTTAACTCCAAGTTAGTGCCCTTGGTGTGGGGTATTTCGTATTTTTAAAATCACACTACTGTAGACAGCATATTATGGATTTCAGAGTACTTTTAAAGTCATCCTGGCACCTGAGTAAAATAAAAATCCCAACACTAACTCACAGACAAGTAAATTTATGTATGACAAAGTCAATGGGAAATAAATGCCAACCTTCCCAGATTATTCAGAGATAATAGTCTTTGCAAGTCGCATCATTATAGTAATGAAATCCTCCTGATTTCATTCTTGTGTGTTTTGAAGTACTTTTTAAAATATCCCATCTTCCAGTCTCTAATTATACTTTCTGCATATGAGGTGTGATTAAATTTTAAATGTCGTACAGTGAAAAACACATGGTTATTAATTTCCCTCAAAATACTCCCCACTGCTTCCAAAACACCTATCCCATTGTCCTCGCCACATTCTGCAGCAGCTCTGGAGTCCTCTTTCCCGAGTGTCTTTAGTTGTGCTGTCCTGGCTGCCTCAATATCTTGAATTGAGTCCAGACATTTCCTTTGCATGGTCACTTTGGCTTTGGAGACGAGCCCAAAGTTGTATCACGCCAGATCCAGTGAAGGTGGAGGAGGGCAAACTAGTGTTTTTGTGTGACAAAAAATTGTCATCAACATTTAAAATCACTTGAAGGCATCAAAGCAGCCATGAAAAGATGGCTCCAGAAACCGGAAACAGGAAAGAGGATTCCAGAACTGCTTCAGAAAGCGGCAAGAATGATGGGATAAATGTGTTCAAAGTGAGCAGGAGGATTCTGCAAGGGATTTATGGCAATGCAACCTTTAATTCGGTAATTCTTTAAAACTTTAAACGTTCGCCACATGGTTTCAACATACCTTGTATGTGCACAGTTGCTGTACTGTGTGCACATCCAGCTGTGCTCTTCCCTTTCCATTAGAGAGACTGGAAACTCACTGCTAATCCAGAACCTCGGTGGATCCTGACAGTGAGCAGCAGCCTCTGTCCCTCTAGTCTCAGGCCAGTCCTTCCCGATACACCACGAGGAAAGAGCCCTTTGCCGTCCCTTCCATACAGTGCTTTCCCTGAGATCACCGTGGGCCTGAGAGCCTGCACCTCGCTGGGCCCCTTCTGAGACCCCCACTTTCTGAGGCACGGGGGCTGCTTCTACTGACAGAAACTGGTATCTGGCTCCTCGCATCTGAGAAAGTGCTTCGTGAATTGTTTTGTCACCACGTCACACCTACCTGTCACACAACCCTATCACGTGCCCCTAGATGCCACCAGATCTCCATATTGCCATGTGCTTCGATGACAGTGTGCCCCCCGTGTCCCCAGATCGCTTCCACTCTCAGAGCTATGAGGTCCACCACAGGTCCCTGCTCTCAGACAGATGGGGACTGAACTGGGGACCCCGACACAGGCACACCCTGCATCGCCACAGCCCCACCCCAGCATGGGCTGCCCCCTCCAGTGCCCTCAGAGACGTAACGCACTGAGGAGGACGCTTTCGTGCCCTTCCTTAAAACAACGCATCTGCTCTTGCGTGACACCACAGATGTTTACGGACCTTCATTTCCTACCCAATCAATTGCTCCTGGAGGGACGGGGACCCACTGCAGTCGTGTTCATCTTTTCTGCAGGCTCTTGGGAAGCACTTCCCATCTGGATGATAAACTGTGATGTTCCTAAAAGCTCAGAGAAGGAACTCAAACGTCCAGAGAGTTCCACATGCTGAAGGGCTGTCCTCAGCCCAGGGCCCCCCTGGGAGGTGCAGGACTCAGGTCCTGGGGTGTGGCCTTGAAGGGGACACTGGGCCCTCGTGCTGCCTCTTCCTCACTCTTGAACACCCAGCCACGGAGCAAACATGCTCCTTCCACCACGCACACCACCCACAATGCATGGGGTCACTGAGGACTTGGAGCTGGGGACCAGAGGGTCATGGGTGAGAGCCTCCAAAGCTGTGTTCCAAAGTAAACCCTTCCTCTCTGCAAGTCTGTCATCACCATTGTTTTGCTCCAGAAATGAAAAATCCCACATAGAACCCCAATTTAAACAGCACCTCAGCTCACTCACACAGGCAAATCATTCTTACGGAGGAGTACAGGTCTTTTCCTCTTACTCCTTAGCTTAAGCAAAGGCAAGAGTAGTTGCAACACTGGGTTTAATTGCTTTTGAAGCAAGGGTGAGAAAATCAGTAAGACAGTTAAGATTGCAGGGCTCCTCTTAAAGCAGAAGCAGCAATAACTACGAAAACCTGTTTTTAGCATTTTGGCTGTATTTTGCCAGGTGTCATAGCCTGGAGCATAAGCATGCTGCAGGGTCACTTCAGGTCAGTCCCTTGGCTTCACCTGACCTCAGGAAACTCCTGTCAGAAGCAGCTCCTCTCAGCTCACAGGCAGGCATGACTGCCCGTCTGATGACAGGACAACCTGCCTGGGATTTCTCAGGAGTTTGGAGCAATAAGCAAGTGCACAAGGTGTTCTTTTATTTTTAACAGTTAATTAAAGGTAATCATTTCCAGAATTGATTTCCCTTTATGCAGAAGTACAAATCAGGAACAATTTATATGGCTTCTGTCAGTTCTGATTAAAGATTTCTTCAAGAATTAATGCCGTGCTGATGGGGAAACATCCCACACAGTGCCTTGCTGGATGTGCTTAACTAGACATGGTAAGCACACTGAAGCCCAGTCAGTGGAGTCCCTCCTTAATCGGACTTGTCCAGTGGCTGCACTCAATAAAGTCATCTCATAGTCAGAATGACTCTTAAATCTCCCCCATTACATGCAATTTCAAACATTATGAGACAAAACAACCTGTGCAATCCATCAACACAGTTTTCCCATGCGAAGAAGCCAACGGACCCCCTCTTCATTCCCCTTGCATAATTGTGGGGATTCCTAAAATGTGAAGGCTGTGAGTTCAGAAATTCTGAGCACACCACAGGCAGATACACAGTGAGAGTTACACAGACTCACCAAAGGAGAGAGTGAAAAAGAAAAGCCTCATTACCTCTCCTCTCGGTATGCCCAAACTAACATCTCGCACAGCAGTAGTCTTCCTGAAAAAGCTTCGGTAACTTTTGCTGAGGTTGTGCAACACCAGGATGTCTCCTCCCGTCCTTCCTTCCAACACCCTCCTGCATTCTTCTTCAACATCTACGTCCTTAGAATACTTGGTGGTGCCTTGCACAGCAGAGTGAGCCCTGGGAAGGTAGAATCAGAATTCATTCACACCTGGGAAATGACCGGAAGAGCCTACAAGAAAAAAAGGTGGGGCATCTGTGAAAACAGAAGACAGGGCTCAGTCTGGTCAGAAGCAGCTTCATCCAGAGCTGCTTCACCCACGACCCTGATTCCTGCGCACAGCAAAACTCAACTGCGTTCCCTAATCTGCAGAAAATATACATGTTCCTGAAAGGCCCTGGAGCAGAGCGACAACAAACTCCAGATAATGTCCCAACTCTACAAATAACAGTCATGCCATACCTTAGGTTTCATGTAAAAAAACCCAGAAAGTATCACATTATTGTTAAGATATCAACTTTCATAGGTGCTTCTAGTAAACAGCTCATTTAATAAAATAGCTCATAAATAAATGTAACCAAATAGTTTACATTGATTGTACAAGTTGGATTTTGTAAGAGTTGTATAACTGTCACTTTTACACAACAGCTTACAAGAAGTAGTCAGTGTTTGCCAGAATACAAATTGCATTTTGAGTTCTGACTGGTTCACTCTAAATTTGAATTGCTTATTTGTTATTATTTTCTATCTGTGGCATTTTAACTTTCAAGTTCTTTTCAATTTCCCCCCTAAACAGTAATATGGGAACACTTTAAGGGCTAAATAGGTACAGACCACTGAGTAAATATTAAACTACAGGAATGTCCTGACTTGTCATCCTAGTATCATGAACAGAAAAGGATAGAAGGTATTAAGAACTTAATTTTGCAAAGTCTTGCAATTCTTAAATTTTTTCCAAACAAAGCAGCATTAAAAAGCAATCTACTGCCAGCTCACAGTCACCCTAGCCCTAGTGTGTCTGTTGTCTTCCTGTGCCTGATTAACTTTATTGGTGCTGGGGACTGAACCTATAGCCTTCACACTGAGCTATGTCTCCAGCCCCTTTTGATTTTTCATTTTGCGACAGGGTCTCACTGAGTTGCTGTGCTACCCAGGCTGGGCATGCACTTGTGATCCTTCTGTCTCAACTTCCCAGACTGCTGAGATTATGGGCATGTATCATGCCTGGCTTGACAAAACCAGACTTTATTCTACACACACAATAGATGATGAGAAAACATGATGAGTGGGAGTGTAATTGTATGATATCAGGGTGTATTACATGGTATCATTTATATAACATTTGAAAGTGTGAAAAATAAATGAAATAATGGAGATGAAAATAAGAATAGACACACCTTGAGGGCGATTACTGGCTAGCAGAGGGTGGTAAGGGCCATTGGAGGCATTGAAAGGATTCTATTTATCCACGTGAGAGTCACTTACATGAGTGTGTTCAATGCGCAAAAACCCACCAAACTGCCCACTTCCCTGCCTGAATGTTACTTCACTTTGCTTGGTGAAGGTCGTGATGCTTCAGCCTGTGGTGGGCTTTTCTCCGAGGTCTTTTCTTTCTCCTACAGACCATGCTGCCTTATACCCACCCATGAGATCTGCCCCTCAGTGTTCCCCATCAAAGCTCCCTGCCCCTCACCTGAGAGCCTTCTGCCTTCTCCACACCTCCCAGTCTCATCCCCAGCTTCCTGTCTCCTACTCCAGCAGGTGCCCAGGTGTGCACAACTGTCTATGCCTCCCCAAGCCATGCTGCTGGGTGGAAGACTTGCTTGAGGCTAAGGACTCTCCCACAGTCCAAGGCCCTAAGTCATCCACCTGTGCTCATCCATGTGCACCCTCCAGCCCACAATCACAGACTGGCATCTACAGGAGAAGACAGATTCCCGCAGCACTAGACATCGTGGCACTTTCCAGGGACTCTGCGTATGGAGTAGCTGGTGCCCATAGCTGTTCTCCCTCAGTCAGCGTGCAGAATGCATAAGCAAAGCCCAGCTCCAGATGAGAGAGTCTGCCCAGCTGGTGTTGGCCCTGGCTGGTGCTCACAGAGACCTGGGTTCCTGGAGACAAGGGAGGGAGTGGACATCAGCTGCGGGATGGCACCAGAGCAGGTGGGGGGCACGGAAGGAAGTGAGCGCCATATTCATGGCCAGCAGCAGGTGCTGGAGACAGAGATCCTGCTCATCAGGAAAGGCAGTCTCTGACCTCCACATAGAGGGCACCATCTTCCCCTTCTCTTCCAGATTAACTACAATGTGTGATCTGAAAACACGGTGGACGTTTTTTTTTTTTAATGTATTACAGTAAAAAAACGTATTCCCAAGAAGCCCTCTCCAAACCTCCCCCTTCCTTTGAAGACACTCAACACCTTGTCCTTGCCACTTCCTGCAGGAGCGCTGGAGTGCTCTTTCCTGAGGGTCTTTAGTTGCACTGTCCTGGCTGCCTCGGTATGTTAAATCCACTCAAAATGTTTCTTTTTCACGGTCATTTTGACTTTGGGGAAGAGCCAGAAGTCACAAATGGTGCTAGAGCCTAAAGTGGATGAGGATACAATGTCATGCTTTTATGAGCCTGCCTTTCCATCAGATCAAGCTCAGCAGCAGCTTTCACCATTTTTTATCACCTTTCACAAAGACACTCAGGAAAGAAGACTCCAGAACTGCTTCAGAAAGTGACAAGTAACATGGGAAGGCAGAAGAGATTTGGAGAGTGGATTCAGGGCAATGTGACTTTTACTGTCAATAGTTCTTGCTTAGGGTTTTTGCAATTCCTTGTTTTTAATTCTGTATTTTATTAGCCCTACCTGCACTATGCAATAGTTACATTCATCATGGAGGGTTGGTACATGTACATAACATGTCTTACAGTCACCTTTTATGTTGATCACCCATTTATGAGCAGTATAGTTTCCTTCAGGAATAGACTATGGCCAAGCAGAGATGCCTACCGCATAAATATGACAGATTTGCCCTGCTCCAGGAGAAAGAGACTTGGAGGCCAATGTCCACTCTTTGGGGAAGATGGAGGAGCAGAGACAGATTCAGGAACATGCCAGATGGAGGGGTGGCTTGGGAGAACTTGGCCTTGCCTCTTCAGCAATGGCAAGTGACCTGGTAGGATCTGGATTTGAATGACAAACTGGGTGGGTTTCACAATCACTGTGAAGTCATAAGCACCAGTAAGCAACTTGGGCCTAATGCAGATGAAACGTGCTCTGTGACCCTCGCTCATGCTGACACAGAATGGCAGAGTGGACTATTTGCAGCAGCCATGGATGACATTAAAACATTCATCTAACGCTTACTTTACTTTGTAAAGGGAAGATGCAAAGTGCTATCTCTCAAGAAAAATCCATTTGCTATTAAAGAAGGAAGAAATAATCTGGAATCCACCAGAGGGGACTCTACAATACAGGTTTTAAGACAGACTGAACTAAGGGATATTATAGAACCAACTATGTTTAAAAGGCACTTGGATTCTACCCCAAACTCAGTCAGCTAGTGGAAATCTGCAAATTCTGGAGTGATTAGAGCCAAGTTCCAAAGAGCTTTGGGATTTGTATTCCAAATTGTTACCAGCTTAAAGGGGGGCCATATAAGGAAACAGGTCACAAGTTGAATGAAAAGAAGTCACATAAAGGGATCACCATAAAATATCAATAATGTGTCTTTATAATATTTATAATAGGTTCTCCAGTGACAGGATCTTCATCAATTTCTGCATAAAGATCCCCTCCCTTAATCAGAAGTCAGCAGGAAATAGTACTTAGAAAGTGTGGGTCAAGGGATTCAGGTCATGGAGGGGGAGGCACATTATTATAATTCATGCAGAAGAAAGTGGCTCTCTCCCTAGTGTATTTCAATGTATTATCTGAGGATATCCTAGAATCTCTGCAAAGCTGCCTTCACTCCCATCTGCAGGCTGTGCATGCAGATGGGGAGCACAGAAAACACATGAAGCACATTACACAGCCCCACCGCCAACAGGCCCCTCACAGCACTGGCTTACACCTCTGCCCGACAAAGGTAAAACCACAGCAACAGATGGAACTGGATATGGCAAAGGGTGCTGCTCATCTGGGCTGAATTTCCACACCTTCCTGCTCCCAGGAATTAATGGCACTGCATCACACAAATTACGTTATAGTATCAACCGAGTTCACCTCAGGTGCTACGGTGTAACCGAGAAATGGAGAAATTTTGAAATGGAAAACACACAGAGGCGCCTCGGTAAATGGAGAGATTATCTCACAGATCACTTTCTCTTCTGAACTCCTTCCTGGTGTTGGACACACACCAAACAAACAAGAAAAGGCACGTAAAATCTCACTGGAACCGTGCACGACACCCATCAAACGCATTCCTTACCTCACGGCCTCCAGGATAGATATCGCCTCCCTGACGCTGCAGAAGAGTGAACCCTTGAGAACGTACCTTGGCCAGCGGAGAAGGTCCTGGTGCAGCAGAAACCGCAGCAGGAGGAGCACCGAGCCTTGCAAGGCCAACTCCACGAAGATCCAGCCCAGCAGGTGCATCTCAAAGGGGCTCACGTAGGAATCAATGCCGAAGTTGTGGGTCAGGTCATACTTGATCTGGTTGTAGCAGAGTTCTATCAGCCCCTGACCCAGGCAGAATTGGGGGAAAATCGTGAAGACCCACCTAAGGATGTCATAGATGTTCTGTAAATTCTGCGCAAGAAAGAAAAACGATGGAATTAAAATCATTCTCCTTTCAGCTGCATATAGCAGTGGCTTCTTTTCTCCTTGCTGGGAGCTGTCCCAGGTCTTCCCCACCCATTCTCCAGGGACGTTCTCAGCCAGCTGAGCAGAATGTTATTCTTGGCATTTAACAGCTAATGGTATTTTCCTCACCAGGTTTTACTTCATGGGGCCCGTCACCCCTTTCTTCCTTTTGGAATGGGAAGGTCTATGCCATGCACACCCCCTTTCTCTTCTAGAAGCACATAACATGTTTTGGGTTCCACAGGCTCATGGCTGGGCTGAAATTAGCTCAGGATGTGGCTTTGAGTGTCACTGCAGCTGATTCATATAAGTGAGACTCTGGACTCCAGGGCCTATGGAGCAACAGGTTAAAACCCTGGTGGATGTCGAGATGCAATGAATTGATTCTTCAGGTAAGAAGGACAGGCATCTTGGGGCCCAGGGGCAAAATGATATGGACAGAACATCTGTGTTCTCCTCAAATTCACATTTCAAAGCCACTGCCCAATGTGACAGTATTAGGAGCTGGGACTTTCTAAAGGTGGTTAGGGGGTCAATGAGATGATGATGGTGGAGCCCCCATCAGGAAATCACAACACTTACAAGTGCAGGAAGAGACCTTGGCTCGTTCTCTGTCCCCAGTGTGTGAGGACACTGACAGGACAGCCACTCATAAGCTACTAACAGGCCCTCATGAAGAATGACATCTAAGGCCATCTTAGTCTTGGGCTTTTCAACCTCCCATGCTGCAAGAAACAAATCCTTCTGTCTATTCTTCAAGTCAATAGGATTTTGTTTGTTTTGTTTTATCATTTTTTTTTTTTGTACCAGGGATTGAACTTGGAACCCTGCATTTGCAAGGCAGGCAGTGGTGCCACTGAGCTAAATCCCTGGCCCCTGTTTTATCATCTTGAGCATCAGTGCTTAGAGGTCATGTGACTATTGTGTAAGCAGGTCATGTGACTGCTACATAAGCAGGTCATGGGCACTGCACTGGGGACTGTGAGCATTTAAATCATGTGCATGCCTGGCTAATTCTTTGCACACAATAAACAAAATAGATAACAGTCGCCATTACTAAGCATAGCATTGTGCAGTGTCACGAAACTATGAGTAACAGGAGGGAGCAAAGAGAATTCCACACACAAAAAATAATAAGATAAGCTACAGTCAAACACAATGTTAAAATTGATTCACCTAAAAATTCAAAATCTGCCATAAGTTTTATAATTGTCTGTACCACCTGACAAGTATTCCTCCTATATTATACTGAGATTAAACTGACCACAAGGGTAAGCAGTTATCCACTAAATGTTTTAGATAAATCATTGGGTGTTTCCGGCTTTAATGTGCCCTCTACCATATTTCAGTGTTTCAACAAATATACACAGTACCAAAAGGTGAGCTCAACTACCAATGAGGAAACATGCCCCCGAGAGCATGAGAATGTTTACATGCCACAGCCATGTGAAAGGGCTTGCTCCTAGCCTTTGGTCCAAAGAACAAAGTCTTTCCACCAAGAAATAAAGCCTTCAGAGAAAATCCACTGAAAAAATGGTCCAGCGAGCTGACCTTTATACTCATTCAACTACTTGAAAGTATTTAACCCAAAAAGAACACCTTAACTAACACTACCAAACAAAGCCTTGGAAATAACGAAATTTAGACTTTCATTTTATAGTCTTTCTCTCTTTATTGTCAAAATGTAAAACTGTTCCAGACATACAATCATATTTTATAAGGTAGCAAAAATTATCATGATATGTACTTATCATACAAAGCAATGTGCGATACCATAAATATTAAACTTTCAGCCTACAGAACTGTCAATTCTATATCATACTACACAGTATGTACACAGAGTACACTTTTTCCTTATCATACAAACTTAAAACATGGATAAGCTAAGTGTAGTCTAAAGGAATGTGTCTTGGGGGCAAAAGAAAATACAATAATACCTTTGGGGATATATATTGCAGTAAGATGGTATATCATCTAATATAGAGAGATGTACAGAAAGTATGAAAGCTTCACATAATTCTTCCTTAGTTTTTTCTTGACTACAACCAGTTATAAATTTCAATCGGCCCTAAGAGAATTTACGAGTTCCACTTTTCATGACGTTATATTACAGCATCAATGGATGCACCCCAGTAAAGAAGCTTGCGTTATCAGTGATAACATGGGGCAGCAGAATACGGCAGCTCCTAACAGGAGTTAATAATTAACACAATGGTACAGGAATGGGGATGGCTTTACACTGCACCCTCAGGACCCTACAATAGTCCCTGGGCAAGTGTGAAGGACCAAGTCTGCAGAGCTGAGCTGACAAGGATCCCACACACAAGAAGGAAACGTCACTGCTCAGACTGGTCCTGACCTGGCTCGGAGGCCTCCGTCACCAGGATGATCTACCTTGGCTCTCATTCTGTGTCACCCAGTTCGTAACACCCCTGACGGCCCATGTCCTACGGACAGCAAGGGGACTGTTTCACACATGATGCTTTCCGTATTCTCCTCGAGCTGAGGCCAATTAACTGCTCTATGGGCTCTCTATGTAAAGGATAGAAGTATTTATACAGATTACTGTCAAACCAGATCTCTAAAAATCATCGAAACACATCATCCCCCTGGCTGACTGCACAACAGATATTTACATACTTCACTTCCCCCACACACACAAGGCCCAATAATAAAAATCCTATCACCCTTCTGCCAAGAACACACTGGCCCCTGAAATCCAGTCGTGAGGCACAGACCTATCTTGAGTAGGTGGATGACTGGTCCAGCCTCATGAAAACAATACCAGCACTGCGTGCTTCCTTCCCAAGGAATGCTGAACCTCGCCGGCTTTGGCCTCAGCCCTGCATCAGCCCAACACCTGGGTGCTCTTAGAAATCTAAACTCAAGCGACAGCACGGAGTTGTGAGACAGCAGTCCGGCTGAAGGGGAGGGAGGAAAGGGGGCAAGAACGGGAAGGACCAAGGAGCATGCAGAGTCTGAAGTCTCCTGCACAGCTGCCTAGTTTGAGAGTGAGCAGCCCGGGAGGGAGGAAACAGCCTGAGGGGGCACAGGCTCTCAGCTTGACCTGGACGCCTGCCTGGGGTCCAGAGTGACCTGCCAAGGGGAGGCCGGGTGGACAGAGGCACTGCTCCACCTGGCCATGCAACCCATGCTCAGGGAAGCCCTTTGCTCCAGCACCTGGAGAGCCGTTCCAGGGGCCCCAGTAGAGAGGACAGGGTCCCCAGATGGTCCTCCAGACTGAGTGTAGTCGCCCACCGCCACCCGCCCTGCCTTCTAATGTCCCACAAGATGGAGACGCTTTGGTGGGCACTTTTCATCACATTCTCTCCCCTGCCATTGTACCGTCAAACTGTCGCTGGGGAAGACCTGGGGATGCGGCTATGGACGCCTCCTGGGGCAGCAGCCACTGCAAGTCTTTTGTCAGCTGTCACCACACAAGAGCAGAGCTCGCACAGCCACAGATGTTCTACTAATTAGAACCACTTTCTCTTTCCAGGGTTTAAAGACAGTGGGCACTGGCACATCACTACCTTCCAGTTGGCAAAGCAACGGCCCTGCCAGCGTCCCCTCCTACCCTCGAGCCCTGGGCGAGGGAGCACTGTAGCAACTGACCTGGGCTTTGGAGACGATGGCCAGGAGCCGGGGCATGGTCGTCATCAGCAGGGTGCAGAGGCCAAAGATGAAGTTCAAGGAGACATAGGAGATGAAAGCTATGTCTGAGCTGGAGAAGACTCCGGACATCAGATACATCCACGGAAGCGACGCGTACCTGGAAAGCACGGAGAAAGCCACAGCCTCCTGTGAGGGCTGTGTGCCTGACGACTGAGTTATGCAGGCCACTTCTGCCAATGCAGCCAGGGTCCTCCCTGGACGAAGCGCTGCCTGGGGCCTTCGGAGGATGCTGTGGAGTGACGAGAAGTGTGCCTCACGGGCACTGTGACTGCCTCCGCTGGTCAGGCCTTTCCTGACCCACACCTCTCTGCGTGCCCGCCAAGCACAATGACCACTTGCTACAGTGAAAGCTAAAAGAAAACCCTGGAGAAAGCTGCAGAATCCTATTTAAAAATAAAAATGGACCTGGGCAGGACCAGGGCGGTCACTACCTCAGTGTCCCTAATTGCCCTCATGCACCCCGACAACCTGGCCTGTGCACTGCAATCCTTGTTTTGGGGTGAAGGGGGCCAGCACCTCCATGCAGCTCACCAAGCTCATCCAAGAGCTGCACATGGGACTCCTCTCCGTGGCCCCAAAGCCAAGCAGCAGGGACCCCCCTAATAGCTCAGACCCTCTGAGCAGCCTCTGTGGGCTCAGATGACTTTGGGACCTAAAGAAACCACCAGATTAAGAAACTCTCCAGAAGGAAAACTCCCTCTTTCATCTTTGTCCTCCCTGCTTGAATGCCAGGTCTCATTCAGACAACTTCCCTGGGCTCCTTCTTGCCACAGTAAACTGGGGTCACTGTCACGCATGCCACTAACAGAAACTGGAACTTTGAAGGGCTGTTCCAAACACCAGCAGTCAATTATTCGTGTGTGCGTGTTTTTTCTGGGGGGTTGAACCTGGAGCCCTCACTCTGAGCTACATCCCAGCCCTTTTAAGTTTTTGTTTTGAGACAGGATGGCATCTCACTAAGTGGCTGGCTATGTTTGAGCACAGGCAGGGCTCCCACTTGCAATCCTCATGCCTCAGCCTCCCTCAGCCTTTCGGATTAGCGGTATGCACCACCACGCCTGTAGAAGTCACCTATTTTAATAAAAGACAGATAATAGAAAACAGGGAGATGGATTTTTCTGGAAACGGGGAGGGGATCTGGCATTAGGGGATATGGAGTTGGGAGGAAGAGGAGGGGCAAAGGAAATAAAAAGGACCAATATGTGACATGTACACATATCGATTTAGCATGATGCATTGACTATGTATCACAGACATACATTAATAATTTTTAAAATAAAATACAAAGAATAAAACAATCTCAGTCTTTCTCATAAGACCCATCTAGCCGGCGTCCCTACAGTACTCTCTCCACTCTGCAGTAAGCGCGTCACTCTTTCCTCGCAGGGAGTGACTGTCTGACCCGCATCACTTCAGTGCCTCCTAAATGCCCGCAGTTGGTTTACTATGTTAGCTAGCTCTGAAAATGATGAGGCTTCAAATGCTGTCAGAGACGCTCGGGTGGCGTCTGGGTGTTTCCCTCCACCTACAAAGCCCAAGACCGTGGAATGCGTGTCCAGGTCCAAGGAGAACTGCTCCCACTGCAGAAGATACTGCATGCGAAACACTGCACATGAAAGCACAGTGTCCCCGAAACACCACCCAACAGCATGGAGGTGTGAGGGAAACTACTGTGGAGCCCAGAATGGAGACAAGACGTGAAAGCCATTATTCTGAAACACTTACTGTATGAAATAGTGAAATCAAAGAATTTCCAAAGAGACACGACACGACATCTACAGACACTAGGCTGCCAACGCCTGTGTCCGACATGAAACACTACAGAGAAAAAGCAAAGCCCACGGCGCTCACAGACACAGCACACCCACTCGCTATGTTCCCTTCTCAGAAGGGCAGAGACAGGGTGCTGCCCTGCATCGCATGGCTTCTTTGAGAAGCAAATAAAATCACAGTATTAAGAGTAATTCTGCAAGTGAAGTATAAGCAGTAGGGCTGTGACCAATTTTTAAAAATAAACTGTTTGACTGATTGCAATACTGGGAGCTGAACTCAAAGCCTTTGCACTGAGCTGTATCCCCATTGCTTTTTAATTCTTATGTTCAGACATGGTCTCACTAAGATGCTAAGTTTCTTAGGTTGGGCTTGAACTTGGAATCCTCCTGCCTCAGCCTCCCAGACTGCTGAGCTTATAATCCTGTGGCACCAGACCCCACCTTGTGAACCAACTTTTGGCTAGCTTTCATTGCTATAAAATTCACTGGGGAGTGAGTAAAAAATGTGTCTAACACAGGATTCAATCTCTAGGTTCTGGAACATACGACGAGAATTTTTCACAGCTGAATATAACCTCTTTGGTCCACTTGCACCACCACTGAAAAGGCAGGGTCTGTCTCTGTTCCTTTTAATCTGTGGTATCCAGCAGCTCTCTCTGCTCAGCCTGGTGACGTCGGGGTGAGGGGAACTCAGAGCAGCACCTCTCAGAGCATCTGATGTGGCTGGCAGGGAACAGAGTGCAGAGATCGGCATCTCTACATTCACAATGGGCAGCATGGATGCCTGCCTCTCCCCGCCGCCAGGCGCAGTACCCCGACCTGCCCAGGATGGAGGACTAATTACCACTGAGATGCCAGGCTCTGCTCCCTGGAGTTTGCTCAAAATCTGTGCTTTGTCACACATGACATAATGTTCTCATGCTGGGCTATGTCTTTTCAATATTAAACAAGTAGATCAAAGCATTATCTAAGGGAAATGAACCGGGGACAAAGGCATAGTCCTCAATGATGCCCCTGGATCTGCCTATCACTGTATTAACTAATGACAGGTCTTCCGGTGTGGTTTTTCATCCAGCTACATTTCCATCAAAAACCTTTTTTTTGGTCCCCGGGATCAAACTAAGGACACTGCATTTGCGAGGCAGGTGGTGGAACCACTGAGCTAAATCTCTGGCCCCACAAAACTTTTTTTTAAACTACATTTTCATTAGTTACCTTTCAAATACTTGGTTGGAATGAATATATTAGCAAAGCTGGTCCCACTGTCCTTTTCTGGTTTTGAGGGGAAAAAATAATAAATTGACTTAAAGAGCATAATTTATTGTCTCCTGAGACCAACCATGGCTTTTAATACTCTCCATGCTTTTATTAAAATGTGACATATAGTTTTAATGATTTTAGAATCTGATGGAGATGCGTGTTCTGTTCACAAGTATTCTGAAATTTATGGAAGGGCACTGTGTCCCTGCGTTCCTGAGAATCAGCCCCTTCCCAGTGCTGAGTGAATTTCCCAGGATACCAAATAAAACATGGAGACCTCATCTTCATGGCCATTCAGCCCTAAATCCATACCCGGCACATCCTGATGGTTCAATGTGTTCTACAGGCAGACTGACTTTTTCTGCAGACACTGTTAGCTGTCACTCTCATCTTTTGATGTGACTCTGTCTCCCTCCCCTTTAGATTAGATATCAAATTTTCCTTGCAAGGAGAAATACTCCTGGGCACCTATGCTACCTTCTTTGAGCATCCCTTCATCGCTCCTCTGCCACATTTCCCGTTCCAATGCCATTAAATGGCCCCATGAGTGCTGGGTGCTCTTGGCTCCTGGCTCAATTCTGGTCCTGGAATTGTCCCCAGGCTCCCAGGACCCGCGGTCACCTGCCAAGACCAGGGCCACAGGAGACAAGGCTCCCAGCCGGGAGGCCAATGATCCCCACTCTCAGGGACATCACTGGCTCAAGAGCCACACATGGGCTGTGTTTATGAGAAGGTCACAAACCTTTTGGTCCAGGGTCCCTGCAAGCCACCCATGACCTCCTCTGGACTTTTCCCTAGGGTTTTCCCTGATCACGGACTCAGTCTGAGTCACCTTGTATTTCTTCTTAGTCCTGTCATGCTGGAATCCTTAGGAGGAAGTGTGTGACACGCTGGCCTACGATTGTGCAGCGGTACACCCATGACCCTGCTGACATCATTTGGAAAAGGTGGTTATGTGCATGGAGAGATTCCCCAACTGGGTGGAAATTCTTTTTTTTTTTGATACCAGGGACTGAACTCATGCAAGGCAGGCCACTGAACCACTGAGCTAAATCCCCGGCCCCTGGGTGGAAATTCTTAAAGGGACTCATGATCAAGGTCCACAGATGTCTAAAATCTTTTGCAAGTTTCTGACTGTTTGAAATTATGTTCTCACCATAGTTTTTTAAATCTCCTCCCTAAATTTTAAAAAATACAGCCAAGTCCATTCTCCACACAATTTTAAGAAGAAAGAGAAGCAACAGCACTCTCCACTAACTGGAGACCTGGGCACAGACAAATACAGATCTTTACATAAGAGCTGGTCAGTGTCAGACAAAGTATGATAAATGTGTCCTATATGTGTTTTATGGCTAAGGACGTACTGGCTCTAAAGAGAGAAATAATTCTAGAGCCAACAACTACAAAATTAAATTAACCAGACTGCTGAGTCACTGTCCACTGAGTTTGTAGGAATGACCTAATTTAAATCTTTACAGCAACAGAAATACCATTTACAGGGAGGAAGCCAGGGCTGAGAGAGAGGAATTAATGTTCCCAAGACCATGGCAGTATCGGTAGTTGCAGCAATATCAACAGTAACCAAAACAGTATTTTTCCTGTGTCCCTAGGCATCTTTCCACTATCCATCATCCGTCGGTTCATCCACTTCAGAACACTGCGTACTGTAAGTAAAACCCTGCACCCGAAGGAAACGCTTTCAATAACCCCAGGTCACTGAGAGAACAACGAAGTATACAAATGCTATTTTACTTGTGACAGTTGGTTTACAACTGGAGGTTTTATTTAAAAACTAGGCTTGAGTCCTGATCAGTCAGAATATTATTTCCCCTGCTATGAGAAAGCAGCTCTGATCCACTCAGCCGCATGGAAACCTGTATGCCTGGCACCCGAGACCCAGACATCCCCGCTCCCAGATGCTCAGTCTGGGGACAGCTCACCATGACGTCAATGAGCACACAGAGGGGGATTTATCCATGACTTCTACCTCTGCCATTTTCCCTCAGAGAAAAAAGTGTGTGAAGCCACACCAAACTACTAATATCATAGGGGAACATGGCAGGCGGTGCTGCACGAGGGGATCCGTCCAGATGCAGTGTCAGAGCCGAGTGAATTAACAGTGAAGGGAGAGCACCCAGGATCCCATTTCCCCACAAGTCTCCAGCCGAGGCCCTGCGGCCCCTCCCTTCCTCCACGGCCACTCGTTCTCTGGCTGGGGCTTGTTTGTCCAGCATCGCTGGCAGAAGCCACATAATTACTTTAGAAGGGAGGAAATCACGCAGCCAACAGCAGGTTCAAAGCCATCCTGAGGCTTTTCTCTTTCAAGAAACGAACCATAATTCTGCAGCCACGTCTCTCAGCACATACCCACCCGAACAGTGCCAGCAGGAGCGCCGTGGCTGCCAGGTTCTCCCGGAAGGTGAAAGCCGTTAACTGGAAGGCAGCGATGACGGAGACACACAGGCAGACGGAGACCAGGTAAAAGACCTGGGGAAACAAAATCAGCAAAGGCAGAGGTAAGTCAAGGGAGGACATTAGACTCACCAGAAGTGCCCTGAACCATCCACTTTGGCCACGCTGCTACTACACCCATGTGGGGTCTGTCACTGGACTCCGTCCTGGAGTCCCTGTTCTGGGGTGAGCTGTGTCCCCTGGTTCATAGGCTGAGCACCTGTGCTTCAGAACGAGGCTGTACTTAGAGACAAGGCTTTTAAAGAAGCAATTAATTTTAAATGAGGTTATTAAAGTGGAGGAAATGAGGGCCAGGAATAGGGGCCCACGGCTGCAATCCCAGCCAAGGCAGGAGGATTGCAAGCCTGAGCCCAGCCCAGACAACTTAGTAACCTTTCAGACCCTGTCTCAAAATAAAACTTTAAAAGGCCTGAGGAGCTGAGTGTGGTGCATGGCTGTAATCCGACCACTCAGGAGGCTGAGGCAGGAGGATCACTGTAAATTTGAGGCCAGCTTGAGCTATATACTGAGACCCTGTCTCAGAAACTAAAACAAAGGGGTGGGGGGAGGATGTAACTCATTAGGAGGTGGCAGATGAGGAGGGGAAGCAGAGGAGGAGGAAGAAATCAGGACACAAACACACAAAGAGGTCCAATCCTCTAAGGACAAAGGGAGAAGACAGCTACCCACAAGCCATGGATAGAAGCCCTGAAGAAACCCATTTCCTGTACCTGAACCACACACAGACTTCCTGCCTCCAGGACCATGGTGGGAACCGCCGCCCTCCAGCAACCTGGCACAGTCCCCTGCCCACTTCCTTTGAGAAGGGCCAGACATTGGTGGAATCTGGAACAAGCTCCTCCCCTGCCTCCCACCACCCTCCCCTGCAAGCTTGGACACACCTTGAGCACTAGCAGATTGTCAAAAATACTCGTTCCACACACCATGAAATAGGGTGAGCAGAGACTGCTTGGATAATCATGCAAGGAACAGTCAGTTGAAGAAGCAAATATTCTGTCCTTAGCCCCAAGGTGAAGCAGGGCCAGAGGCAGAGAGATGCATGCAGAGAACACAACTGAGGATGCAGGAAGGAGGAAGCCACGGGGCTTGGGAACAGGGCATGCCCCCTGGTGCCCAGACTGGAGCTCCATGCAAGGTCTTACTCTTTCCTGCTGCACCTATGCTCTCTCTGGGGATGCTGGGCTACCAGACATTATTAAATGGCAGATGCAGGGAGCAGTGGAGTGGGCCGAGGCCACAATCTGAACAGGAGGCTGAGGCTGGCACTGAAGTCCTGCTCTGCCCAGCGAGCAGCAGAATCCTGTCTGTCACTTCCTTTCTCTCCCACCTCCAATCCATGGATGAGGTGGGTGAGGGGCTGGTGCCCAGCACCTTTGCACCTCTTCAGAGATTCATTAACCTCCCAGATGCCAACTGAGGCTAGACAGATGTGTTGCACAGAATCTGGAAGGCTGTGCTGTGGGAATTCCCACTGTCGTGACTCTCACTAGTCAGGTTTGGGTTAAACTCCGAGCAGTCAAACTACCAAAATATTGGGGTAACTTAGGTGTGACCCGTACAAGCTGTACTTTTTAAAAGAAAAAAAATCTAGCTTACATGATCGGAAGGAAGTCAGCTAAATTCTAAACCAGCTCAAAAGGCACAAACATTATCAAACAGTGACGGGTTAAAATGTCAGGTTCAGTACAAAATTCAGACCCTTCCTGTCCTGCTTCCTCCTGGCCCAGAGACTTCCCAGATTATGGGTTGAGTACTACTTGTGAAGGCAGGAGGGTGAATGATTACATTCCCCCAAGAAGGCCAAGATGACTTGGAAACAAAGAAAGTGAGTGCTGGCCACAGAAGGGCACCAAGCGCTCCATCGGGCAAGGCAGATGCACTTCTGATGCCAGATAAACATCTGGGACTTGAGAACAACTCCAGAAGCCTCTGTCCTTCCTTGCAGGGACTGCAGACATGGTACGGAGGGCTCCATGGGAAATGCTGGCACCCCACACACACGAGGGAACAAGGCTCAACAGGGACAGATCGTTCCTAATTCTTTTTGTTATCTCGCCCTCCGCTTCTCACAGAAGAGCACTTCGGAGGTGGTTAGCTATTCATTTCCTAACATTCCCAGGCAGGCCTCTGACTTCCCAGATCGGCAGCCAAGGTCCCTGATCCCCCCCACCAAAGTCACCGCGAGGGTCTGGGGGCCACCGCTGAAGAGGACTTGGCCTGAGATGCCCTCCCCAAAACAAGCAGCTCTTTGTGGATGGCCCCAGGTGCCCCACACCCTCCTGTCCCTGCCCCACGCACACCAGGTCCTACCATGTCATACAGGAAGTGAGTGACCCAGTACGTCCTGTAGCCAAGGCCACTTAGGTGCTGCAGCCTCTTGGCTCCGGTCACCCTGTCCCTCACCACGTTGCTCCCAATGTTGGCGGACAGGATGGAGAATCCCAGCACGATGCACAGGGCCACGCCGCACTGGCGGATGCTCTCCAGGCTGCGGGCAGAGCACAGCAGCTTGTCAGATGGGAGGGGAGGACATGGCGTCTCTCTGCTTTTACAGCCGGGACTGACTGGACAGGTGCAGGCACAAAGTGTAGCTCCCTGCACCAGAACCCCAGCCACCTCTGCAGGCGTGGACCACCATCCAGAGCTTGGGGAGACATCACCAGTGTCATGTGAACGGGGCCCAGCAAGCCCTGCCAGGGAGGGCACAGGCGACAGGTCCCCTGCAGTGTCCCACTCCAACCAAGGGGATCCCAGAAGCGACCACGGCAAGGCTGCAGCCGCATACACCACACGCTCTCTGCAGCACAAGTGACACCTTTCCAGCCAGGCAAGTGCTGCCCAGCCTCTTCTCTGTCCCGGCTTTAGGGACCTCGGATACAAATGGTCTTCCTGGGTCCCACAGAATGAAACCTTTCCCCACAAACCACATTGGGCTGCACCTTCTTTCCCATTAACACGTTCATTCATCACCCAGGACTCTTGACAGCTGTCAGAGACTATTAGAGGCAGAGACTTGAAAAGTAGTGTGTGAAGAGCAGGATAGACTGGGACCCATTTTCCTGCTACGGTAATGAGGACAGAATGCCCATTAAGCATGTTCTGGCCAGGCACATGATATATACTTGTAATCCTAACACTCTGGGAGGCTGAGGCAGGAGGATGGCAAGTTGAAGTCCAGCCTGGGCAACTTATCAACTTACTGAGATCCCGTCTCAAAATAAATAATTAAAATAAAAGCCATGTATGTAGCTCAGTTGGAAGTCACTGGGTTCATTCCCAGTGCCTTTAAAAAAAAAAAAAAGCATATATTGTGTTCCTACCTTGACAGGAAGACTATAAACAATACTTTCATTATCAATGTAGCATATAAGTTTGTCAACAGTACGACACAGAAGGGAGAAGGGGAACAGAGAGAGGCTGGGAATAAGATTGTGCCTCGTAAGAAGGCAGCGGAAAGTGACACTATGCCCCTCCACCAGGACAGCAGAGAGTCTCCCACGGGAAATGTGGGGGGCGCTGTCCTGTTTACCTGTGTGCATGCCATGTTTGTGTCGGCCTGAAATACTGCCCTGGGTAAACCTGGGTACAGCCCCTGGCTGGGGTATAGGTCACTGCAGAGCACCTGACTGGCAGGCACTAGGCCCTGGGTGCCACCCCCAGCACTATACTCGCCCACACAAATGTCCTGGAAGATGTCCAGCCCCATGCACTGAGGGAACTCATGCTTCAGGACGGTTTCTACTTAGAAATACGGCTGTGTGGTGTCCCATCCACTCTACATTCAACAGATACACCTCCTTCCATGAATCCTTTCCTCCCACCTGCAAGGAGATGTCCAATCCCCATGCACACACTGACTGCACACATCTCTCCTAAGAGATGTTGGCGCAAAGATCTTCTGTGCTTAGTTTCCATCCCCAGCAGCAGCAGCAGCACCCTTTCCACTCACATCTTGTCTTCATTCAGCAAGGCCCCTCCATAGGGGCGGCTGTACAGTGTTATTCCTGTAAGCAGAAAATTGCAAAGTGAGCCTTGAGCCTCTCCTGCCTGGTGAGTCCCAGCCCACCCCCAAGGGACCCAGATGCTCCTGCGTCCTTTCCCCAGGCCCAGGTCCACCAGCAGCAACCAGGCCGGATCCCGTCTTGCAATTCGGCCAGTGAGTGCTGGGGTTGTCATCGTTGCTACCACTGCCAAACATTACCAATGCCAGGCACGCACTGTACATGTGTTGTATGACAGGCACTGTGCTCAGGTGGTACATGTTTATGACACTGTAAGTGCCCCAGCACCCTGGGAAAGTTTGTGATGAAGAGACAGACTTAGGAGATAGAAGTATGCAAAGGAGAGTATTTGGTAACAACCAGATCAATATTCAATTCGCCTCTATGTAAAGCCAGTTAGATAGAGGGGAAAAGTGGACCATTTCCTTTGGCCAACTTTGAGTTGTTTTGCATTGCTTTGTTCAAATGCTGGCAGCCAATACAGAGAAACTGCCACCAAGTTATCAAATAGCAGGGCTTCGTCATGAAGGCTGCTCATAAGAACACAGCGTGGTGTCTGTCCCTGCATACCATAGTCACTACTCTATGGAGAATTCTGTAACTTCGGGCAAGTGATTTGTATCTCATCCTAAAGCCTCTGTGCGCTATGACAGTAATTAGGTTTCTGCTTCTAATTGGTTGCCTCAAATATGTGGAGCTGAGTGGCTCATACTGGAGGTAGCACGAAGGCCCCAATCCTTGCTCCGTTTCATGCTGTAACTCTATGTTTTCTTCCACTTCTTTTGACACACTTTTAACTCATCCATATTTTGCACTCCCTTATGAAGGTACCTAAGTCTTTACTGAAACACCACAGGGCATAAGGAAGCGTAAATAAATTAAAAGCTTTGGTCCTAGAACAGATCTCAGTTCTCAGAAGTCCCAGCAGTTCCGACATCTGCCTGGCTGCCGCCGGCTCCCCTCTGTCACACAGCCAGCCTTCCCAGTTCCTTCGCTGGCAAGCTCAGCTGTGCAATAAGGCGAGCTCTGCTCATAGCAGAGAGAACAGCGGGAGGCATGTGTTCCACGAGTCTCTTCTACAGTTTTACAGAACAATTTCTGTGATTATAAATTGATATTATCCAGATATTCTACTCCTGGCTCCCAGTGTGTGGGCCTAATGCCTGCTGCGTGGTTTCCTAGATCCTGGGCTTCACTTCTACATCCATCATGGACAGAGTTCTGTGGAGCTGACACCCGCCTGTCTGGACCAGAACACCTGCCAGGCTTTCTTCCCTTTGTCTCTCAGTGAACGTGACTCCTGGTCTCACCCCTCACTATGTATCCTAACTAAAACGCTGACTCCCAGGTAGCTAGCATTTCACCTGATGGGCAGCCTGCTACAGACCACTTAGCTATGCAAAAGCCAGCTAAGTACAGGCAATGCTCACAGGGAGCCCTGCCCAGGGTGACAGGTGTCCCTGTGGGTGCTGCAGACAGCGAGGGTGGGCCTGCAGTGCTGTGTGCTGTTCCAGGTGCTGCGTGTGACTAAGAGAACCCAGAAAAGTGCGCTACATGCAGGCACACACGTACACCCAGAAAGCGTGAACAAATGTAAAACATTATGTATCTGAAGAAAGAGACTTGCTCTGAGCTGCTCTAGAGGGAGAGACTCATTGGAGAGGAAAGTTCCAACTGTATCATCAAGCATCTTTAAAATTAAACTGTGATTGCAACTACAGTGCCTTCCTGACTCCCGTAACTTCATTTCTACACATAATCAAAGCTTGAGAGGTCCTGGGAACCTGGGAATCTACAGCCAGCAGCCAGGAGTGCAGGAGGCTTGGTGAAGCCTCAAGGTGCCACTGGCATCTGAAGTCTCCATGGGGACCATGCCTCTCAGCTTAACTGAGCAGAGTGGCAGCTGCATGACTGCATCCAACATCCAGAGTGCCCTCTTCCCCAGGAGAACACAGGGTCCCCGCCCTTCCACCATACTTTTGGACCTGCCTCCTCACATTACCTCTTCCCGCCAAAGCACTATGGACTTTGTGGGGCCTGTGCTGACTCCAGTTGGTCAACGGCAGGGCTGAAGGGTTTGGCCACAGGCCTCCCCTGGCTCTTTGCACCCTCATCCTCAGTCTCCTGGGTCTTCCCAGGCCTCCCCCGATGATCACAGAACCATCCTGCACAGCTGCAGGTGTGTAAGGACCCCCTCCCCATCGAAAGCCTGCAGAAGTCCTCCTCCTCCAGCCTTTCCCCTGTGCACATCTGTGGGGTCCTGCCCATCACCCAGACTCAAAAGTAAAGGCTCCTCACCCCCACCCCACACATCCCAGGAGCCCCCAAGTCTGCCACACCTCTTTCTCCCCCTTGCACACCAGGGCCCTGCCCAGGCAACTCTCACCCAAGTCACCTCTAGCCTGTCTCTCCCCAAGTTTACGGTTCCTCACAGCAGCCTCGTAAACTTCCAAAAGGAGCAGAAAAACAAACACAGCATTCAGTCTTCTCCCAGACACAGGTGCCCTTCGTGATAAAGCCCCACTCTCACATTAGCCTCTCTTCCCATGGCCCCATCCAAGACCCCAAGAGACTAGCATTTCCCTGACTCTAACTGCAGACTCCTATCCCCTCTCCTCAGACTGATGTCTCCATCTCAGGTCTCCCTGGTGAATCTAATGTCCTTGTTTGAAATCGTGATTACATTGCTATATTTTATTTTCTGATTCATACAGGTACAGCTGATGAATAAAAAATGTACAGACACTGTTCCCAATGTGCAATGGGCTGACTTACGATTTTTCAACTTTATGACAGTGCGAGAGACAGCTCAGTGGAGTTCATACTTCAAATTTTGAGATTTAGTCTCTTCTTGGGACAGCAAGAGGCTGCTCTCTCTGGATGCCAGGCAGGGGCAGCCATTGTGCCAGGTCCTGGTCATCCTACATTGTGCCAGGGGGGCCAGCACTCCTGGCAGGGCACCCGATGCAAGGCTACACTGAGTAGGATGGTTGTATTACATGCACTCCCCACTTGCAATATTTTTAACTCACACTGGGTTTATAGGACCTAACTCCATCATTTAGAACCTCTGTATTTAAAGTGTATGAAATGACATTTTAATTATATATACATTGTGGAATGATTATCATTCAAGGCAATTAACATACCTACCACCTCTCCTACACTGTTAGGTCAATGTAAATTAGCCCAGCCATTATAAAAAACAGCACAGATGTGCTTCAAAAAATTAACAACAGAACTACTGTACCACCAAAGGAATCTTATCCCTAGCTCTTCCTTTTTCTCTCTGTTGCCTAGTTGCCATAGTATGAGCAGTTTTCCTCCTCCACGCTTCCACCATGCTGTTTCTGACTTGGAACCAGCCTACCATGGACTGAACCCACTAAATCCATAAGCAAAAATAAACCTTTTGTCCTTTAAATTGTTGGGTGTTGGGCATTTTGCCCCAGAAATAGGAAAGTGACTAATACTGAAATTTAGAAATTATTTAAAGCATATGGGTAACTTAGTGGCTTTCCCAATGCTGGGACAAAATACCTGACATCCAACATAGTAGAGACAAAATACCTGACACTCACAGTTAGTAGAGGTTTCAGTCCATAGTTGGCTGGCTCTGAGGCAGGGCAACATGGCAGGGGGGCATGGTAGTGAAGGAACAGACCATGGCAGGGTAGGCAGGAGGTAACAGCAACCAGAAAGCCTCCCTTCCCCTTTTATCCTATTCAGGATATAAGCCTTTTTGGTGGTGCCACCAATACCCAGGGTGAGGCTTTCATTATCCACACCCAGGCCTATGTTAAAACAATTTAGTTATCACACACATACTTAACCCCAGTATCACACACCCTAATTCAGCACCACATACCCATGATCCAGCCACCTCCCAAAAGCCCCATCTATGAGAGCATGAGACTTTAAGGGGACATCTAGAAGCCAGCTTTAACAATGAAAAATGGAGGCATGCCTACATTATATGCAACTCCTCCACCAATGCCCTTCTATACAAGGGCCCTGAAAAGCAAGTATTCTGCTATTTGTAGCAGGGAAGGATCCTGGGACAAGTTCTGCAGAGACACCAAGGGATAACTGTGCACACACGAACCCATGGTCAGGAATCACATGCAGTCTAGGACACTAGGCTGTTTGTGTAAATTCTTTTTCTGTCATGTCAGGGTTACTACGGCCACTTCAGAGGAGGCACCTCAAGCACAGGTATCTGAAGAGCTCCCCGAAGTCTGACAGCTGTGACAAGCTGGGATTCAACCCTATGCCTGCAGCTGCCTCCATCTACTTTCCTACAGGTGTGTCACACACCTCCTCAGCATACACTTTTGACTGTGCAAAGAGCAGAGCCAAACAAGAGAAGGAGACAAGGCTGGAGGTCAGACGCCTCTGTCTTGCTCACGGTACAGGGAAAAGCTGCAAATGCTTTACAGAGAGTTCAGCAGTACAATTTTAAACTAACAAGGTTGGATCTTCATTCAACCAGGTTTCACCAATATCTTCTCTTACATTTAAGCTGATACAGCCATTGCCCAAAGATGAAAAACAGTGCTCTAATAAATGCTTTCTCTAGCCTCACTCTTCTGTTATGGATTCACCACCCTCCACAGTAGTACATTTCCTGGACTTCTGTCACTGCTTCAGAGTTTTAATCTAGAAAGCCAGGGTACATCCGGTCTCACATCTCACTGGCAGAATGACTGTCTGCTCCGGCTCTGAGTAACTCCTGACACACCAGCCCCAATTCTGGCTGCTCTCGCTCTGGAATCGGATGGTGAGATTTGATGCTAAAGAGATCAGTGAAGTCTCCATGCATCCATCTTTAAGTCAGCCTGTGGCATTCTAGAATGGTAGATTCTTGCAGAAAATAAAGCACCCCATAATTCTCCATGGCAGGCACACCCTTGTGTTCCAGAGGCAGAAATGGGAGCTGAGGGAAGTGCACAGAACTGGAGCACAAAACTCCCTGGCATCCACAGAGCTGGGGCTGTGTCTCT